TCGTGAAGCTTATGACGTTTAACAACTTACGGCGGAAAACGGTTATTATAGAACGTTGTTTTTGTTATTTACTATAGAGAAACATTGCAGGGGGTTGGTTGGTGGTTAAAGGTGGTTGTTGTCCAAAGGAAACCACAATATACATATATAAATAAAGCAAACTAGAAAATAACAAAACGCAATTTAACTGCTCAAATATTAAGTTATTTTTGATAAAATTAAACAATTAATTAGTTTTTGTGTGTTTATTTGTGTAATTGTAACATAATTTCATGATGGCCGATTCCGGTGGCAGGCAATATCAAAAATTACCTCCCGGATGGGATTGCAAATATGACCAGACGACCGGAAATTGGTAAGTGGTCATTAAAACCCTTTGTTTGTACAAATATTTTCAATATGGCGGACATTAAGTTGTACATTTGACAGAGTGTATGTGTGAGTGCGTGTTAGAAATGAATTTTTATGCCGTTTTAAATTGTTGAATTTTATTCTAACAATTGCATACTTTAAGGCATTTACTTAAATATGGCTAATGTGACGATGACTTTATATTACGTGATTTAACCCTAAAAATTAGGTCGTTTGCAAATAAAAACAAATGTACTACGTACAAGTACTTGTCTCCTTGATACTTTTAAGGCTTTAAGAGGATTTTGTTTTTGTATCTTCTATAACAGAGTTTGTATGTTTGTGTGACGCCATATGTATGTATGTAGTATATTCGTTGGAGTGTGTATATAAGGTTTCTGTATGTTAATTTAAAAATGTTAAACAAATTTCAAAACAAACAAGGACATATGACATTAGACGGGGATCTGGAAGTACATACATACAGCTAAACAAGTACGTACTTGACAAAAATGCTGCTGGTACATTTCTTAAATATAAATTTATATGTCAAATGTTAAACATGTTTTTAAAAACATTAAATGAAATCATAATTCCATATTTGAAATAAATTGAATTTAATTAGTAGATTTTTTACCGAATGCATTAGGTTTAAAAATATTCTAAAACATGAGTAAATTTATTGGGGACAATGACGAGCCGATATTTATAGAATTCGATAGCGTTAAATTTCTTAGAATATAGACAATATTGTGGAATATACTTCTTAATAGAAAGATTTTTAAACCATATCTTACAAATATTTTAAGTCCAGTTCTCAAAGTTATAGTCATTAACTGAAGAAGACCCTTTATTGCACAGTGGTATAGTAAAAATAAAGCGATATAAATCAATTAAGCCTATTTGAATGGAGTACGTAAAGAGGAAGTGTTTTCTAGTTTATGTTTTGAATTTTGAACTTATGAATCCTCTAGGAACGGGATTACGTATATCCAAAATGGGACACCTCGGTTGTATTAAACTTTTAAAACGATCTTAAATCTTTGTTTGTGTTCCGTTTGATTAATAAAGATATAACATCATTTTCCTTGAGGTCCAAATTTAAAATATAAACTCGACAATAAAACTGGATAATATCGGGAATAATTTGACCAACCAATGTAAGATATCATATAATCGGTCGTGTCCAATTATAGGTTAGGTATCGAAGGCAGCTGCTACAAAAGCAGCTCACTTGGGTCCATTTAAGTTGGTCCCGTTGTGTTACCCTAGTGGTAGCAGGAGTGTGTTCAGATGTCACTCTCTGCTTTCAGAACTGAACCACCTGATTTTGGCTTTCCTATACAGTTTATTAAGAACAAGTTTCTTACAGTTCGTAAAAGAGATTCCAGTAAAGGCATTGTGCCAGTTATGGCTAATTCATTAGCTATACAGTTACCCTGAAATTTATCGTGACCAGGGACCCATATTAGTGTTATCCTAGAATGTTTCGGTATCTCGTAGAGTGATACTCGGCATTCTTTGATTAACCTAGATGTCGTGAAGACACCCGTTAGATTTTTGATAGCAGCTTTGTTGTCAGTATATATGTATACATACATATATCCCCCGATATGTGATAGTACCTTAGCCAATTCGCTGCACGTTTGATAGCAGATATTTCTGCCTGAAGAACACTACCGTAGTAAGGCAGTCTGAAGGATGATTTAATACCAAATCCTTCAATAAAGAAACCACTTCTTGGAGCCATCAGTATAAACTCTCGTTGCACCTGGGGGTGGTTGTGTTTCTAATTCGGAATTCCTATGTGGAATCCTGGTGCGAAAGAGATTATCGATGTTAGGCTTCGTAAGGCAATAGTCAACATTTAAATGCAGTGATTCGAAGTGTTTTAAAATTCTAGAGTGCCCGTAATTTCTGTGACCAGACCACGATCAACAGGCATTTTGTCTGATCGCAGAGTTGATGGCAAGTTGGACAGCCATTAAGTCAGCTGGTAACCAGTTTAACATGGTTAGCAGTGCTTTGGTTGGCGTTGCCTTCATTGCTCCTATAATAAGTGAGAAGTATGCTCCACCGCTTGCCACCATACTATAACTCCATAAAACAATATGGGTTTGACTACTGCCTTGAAAATCCAGTTAATACCTTTCGGGTTTATTCCTCACGTTGTACCAACTGCCTTCTTGCAGGTTGTACCAACTGCCTTCTTGCATGTATAGACATTCATCACTGAATTGTATAGAGGGCACTTGCGAACCTGAAGGAAGAGATGAATTAGCTGAACACTTTCCAACAGGACCCGAAGAAGGGTGTTCAACCACTTTTACGGTTTGGACTGAAGCAGCTTTAGAGGTGCCTGCAAAGAAATCCATTGGTGCCTCGCCACTTGGGAATAACTACTAACAGATTTTTATTTCTGGGGTGCCAGACTGACTTCCCGGGTGTGTCAGACTGACTTCCTGCTATGCCGGTAGCTCGCAGACTTTTCTGGCCCGGTGTTGCCGCCTGACTAGCCCTAGTAACAGTCGCATTCGACTCTTCACGGCCCATTACCGACGCCGTGGGAGTAGGATTCCCGGGAATTATGAAGTCCCTGACCGGGTATGTGGGGCATGCTTCTTTCTTTCTTTCCATTTTGTCCTTGTGGACGGGTTGCATTTTCAACCTACTGCTAGGTGAGGTTAAACTGCGGTCCCTACTGGGGAAACAGACGCAGCCCACCAGCCGCCTAATATGGGAAACAGACGCAAGGCAAGGAGCCTTTTCAAGGTCTCTACTGTTTGTAAGATCTAAGTGGCGGTGGATTGTATGGTATATACTGCTGTTTCCAAAAATGTGCTCTGCATTTTCCGGACAAGGTTTTAGGAGAAGGGAGTCCTTGTGACATTTTTATAGATATTGGCAACTATTGGATCGCCAGAATTGGTAATTTGGATGTTATCTCGCTCATCTAAAAGCCTGAGAGCATGGCAGGAATATAGCAAGTAGCTGCTGAGATGACGATTTCGCAGATCTTCCTGGAAATTTATTGTCATGCTGCGTAGTTGATAAGGGGTCTTGCAGAGTTATCTCGCATTTAGTCGTCATATTCTTTAGTCAAGTCCATATTTAGTAACTTAAGGCTGCATTCAATCAGCTCGGCTAAGTAGTCTGTAAGAAATTATCTCATTATTACTGTGTAAATATGGATATCGCTAATTTGCCATAAAACTGACATAACTCTAAAAATATCGTTTCGAGATTTAAATTATAAATCTCCTTTAGAACTTTACAAATTTGTAAAAAGCTTTTATAATTATTTCTATATCTGCTTTCAGTTACTACATAAACTACATAACCAAAGCGATGCAACTTGAAGATCCACGTTCCACACGTTATCGCCCTTTACAAAATGAACGGTGCTCCAATGAATCTATAGCCATGCATGTAAGTAGTTTTTAACCCTATTACAAAGTAACCAATATATTGTTAACATTTTTATTCTAATTTTTCAATTGCAGTCTTTCCATGGACCAGGCGGTTCGCCATATCATGTCTATCCAACTAATAATATGCCTGCAATGCGAGCCTTCCAAACACCAAATTCTAGTCTTCATCATATGTCTACCAGTCCACTGTTGACATCTTCCAGAACACAATTGATCAATGTAAGTTTTAAGAGATCATTTATTTTGATTCAAATTTTGTTATTAAAAAATTATTTTTGCCAGGATATGTCTCCAATACCCGCTCCCAAAACCCAATTTGCTCAAGCTCCTCGTACAGTCAATATGTCGAGACGTTCTACCATACAGGAAACATCTTTTACAAATCAAATTGATACCGATGCGGTGGTTCATAAAATACAAAATATGTTTCCAACAGCTAGTGAAAATCATATACGATTACTTCTGAAAAAGTAAGTTAAATTTTGTGATAAATTTCTGATTAAATTAAATAGCCTTAAAACTAATCTAAACACCCAACTTTAAAATTACTAACTCCAAATAATAACTTTAATTTTCACGCTGCTTTCTTTATGCCTCCACTCTTGTAATTTTTTTGGATAAACTTGTAATTAACCCCACTGCCTTAGATATTATAATCGCGAAGCTGTTGTTATCAGTGCTTTACAAGTAGAAAAACATCCAGTCACTATGCCAGGACCATACGTTACACCACCAGCACAACGTCATTTATTCCACAGCAACTCGGCCATTCATATGACACCACCAGCTCGACGTTTTGATACTGGCTCACATTTACGTGGCCTTGATTACACGTGCTATTCGCGCACGGCCAGTCCAGTACCACCAGGTCGTCTTGGTAGTGTCATTAGTATAAATAGTGGTGGCCACGGTATTATGGGCCATATGGCTGTGCCACCATATCAGGCGTCACCACGTTTTGGTGATCAAATGCGTTGCTCACCGAAACCGCATTCGTCGCCAAAAATGAAATTGAGGTTTGACTTTCGAAGTGTTTTAAGATTTATTTTCAGTTTTGATTATTCTCCTGCGTTCGCCTATATAATATCACAGGACAACAGAATTTGAAACATGTGGAAACCCGGAGAGTATACTTCTCTAAAGGATTTAGCTATATTGACCTTTTTTGGACTTATTTGAGACGTTATAACAGCGTTATAACCTTTGTTTATAAAATCTGTCAAATCATCTGAGAGTCTAATCTGTTTATATAAAATAAAGGTTTAGCCAGATTCGGATTCAACACTGTTCAATCTTTAAGAAAAGTATACTTTTTCTTTCTGGGTTGAAAACTTTGTTGGCCTGTGTATTTAGTTGATTTTATATTTATTTATAAGTTTTAACATTATTTTTTATTATAACGCCAAATTTATAATCCAACTGATTTTTATATATCTTAAGTGTAGAAACAAGACGACAACGACTTTAACAACTGAGATCTGATCTGAATTCGAAATATATTGAAACAAACAGTTTAATTAATTCTACATCAGAGTTTATATCTTTTAAATATTGAATAAAGCAAAATTGGTAAAAACCTTAGAATAGATCGCCTATCCGCTTTCTAAACTAAATATGCCCTAAATGAAGGGACTTATAAATTTAGTCTACGAAAACGTTAAAAATTATTGAATAAAAATAGCTGAAACCGTTAAAAAGTTTTAAAAGAATATATGCAGCAATGAACGGTTAAAAAGTTTTGAATCAAAATATTTGAAAATCGTTGCTCCAATACTCCAAGCACTGTACTAATATTACACCAGAGGTAAAAACTTATGAGGATTAAATATTCCGAAACCAGACGTATAAAATTCAGTACTTTGATATTTTTTTCAGTACTTTTTGATATCGAAAAATTCCGCAATAGTACCCCACGACATTTCCGATACTTTTTTTAACTTATAAGCCTTTCATCCACATAGCAATCAATAAACCAGTCTGTATTCTATTCTATAGTCTAGTCTATAATCTGGTCTATAGTCTAGTATATAGTCTAGTTTATAATCTACTCTATAGTCTAGTCTATTAGTCTATAGTCTAGTCTATAGTCTAGTCTATAGTCTAGTCTATAGTCTAGTCTATAGTCTAGTCTATAGTCTAGTCTATAATCTAGTCTATAGTCTAGTCTATAGTCTAGTCTATGTATAGTATAGTCTAGTCTATAGTCTAGTCTATAGTCTAGTCTATAGTCTAGTCTATAGTCTAGTCTATAGTCTAGTCTATAGTCTAGTCTATAGTCTAGTCTATAGTCTAGTCTATAGTCTAGTCTATAGTCTAGTCTATAGTCTAGTCTATAGTCTAGTCTATAGTCTAGTCTATAGTCTAGTCTATAGTCTAGTCTATAGTCTAGTCTATAGTCTAGTCTATAGTCTAGTCTATAGTCTAGTCTATAGTCTAGTCTATAGTCTAGTCTATAGTCTAGTCTATAGTCTAGTCTATAGTCTAGTCTATAGTCTAGTTATAGTCTAGTCTATAGTCTAGTCTATAGTCTAGTCTATAGTCTAGTCTATAGTCTAGTCTATAGTCTAGTCTATAGTCTAGTCTATAGTCTAGTCTATAGTCTAGTCTATAGTCTAGTCTATAGTCTAGTCTATAGTCTAGTCTATAGTCTAGTCTATAGTCTAGTCTATAGTCTAGTCTATAGTCTAGTCTATAGTCTAGTCTATAGTCTAGTCTATAGTCTAGTCTATGTCAGTCTAGTCTATAGTCTATGTCTAGTCTAGTCTAGTCTATAGTCTAGTCTATAGTCTAGTCTATAGTTAGTCTATAGTCTAGTCTATAGTCTAGTCTAATAGTCTAGTCTATAAGTCTAGTCTATAGTCTAGTCTATAGTCTAGTCTATAGTCTAGTCTAGTATAGTCTAGTCATAGTCTAGTCTATAGTCTAGTCTATAGTCTAGTCTATAGTCTAGTCTATAGTCTAGTCTATAGTCTAGTCTGATAGTCTAAGTCTATAGTCTAGTCTATAGTCTAGTCATAGTCTAGTCTATAGTCTAGTCTATAGTCTAGTCTATAGTCTAGTCTATAGTCTAGTCTATAGTCTAGTCTATAGTCTAGTATCTAGTCTATAGTATAGTCTATAGTCTAGTCTATAGTCTAGTCTATAGTCTAGTCTATAGTCTGTCTATAGTCTAGTCTATAGTCTAGTCTATAGTCTAGTCTATAGTCTAGTCTATAGTCTAGTCTATAGTCTAGTCTATAGTCTAGTCTATAGTCTAGTCTATAGTCTAGTCTATAGTCTAGTCTATAGTCTAGTCTATAGTCTAGTCTATAGTCTAGTCTATAGTCTAGTCTATAGTCTAGTCTATAGTCTAGTCTATAGTCTAGTCTATAGTCTAGTCTATAGTCTAGTCTATAGTCTAGTCTATAGTCTAGTCTATAGTCTAGTCTATAGTCTAGTCTATAGTCTAGTCTAATCTAGTCTATAGTCTAGTCTATAGTCTAGTCTATAGTCTAGTCTATAGTCTAGTCTATAGTCTAGTCTATAGTCTAGTCTATAGTCTAGTCTATAGTCTAGTCTATAGTCTAGTCTATAGTCTAGTCTATAGTCTAGTCTATAGTCTAGTCTATAGTCTAGTCTATAGTCTAGTCTATAGTCTAGTCTATAGTCTAGTCTATAGTCTAGTCTATAGTCTAGTCTATAGTCTAGTCTATAGTCTAGTCTAGTCTATAGTCTAGTCTATAGTCTAGTCTATAGTCTAGTCTATAGTCTAGTCTATAGTCTAGTCTATAGTCTAGTCTATAGTCTAGTCTATAGTCTAGTCTATAGTCTAGTCTATAGTCTAGTCTATAGTCTATAGTCTAGTCTATAGTCTAGTCTATAGTCTAGTCTATAATCTTGTCTATAGTCTAGTCTATAGTCTAGTCTATAGTCTAGTCTATAGTCTAGTCTATAGTCTAGTCTATAGTCTAGTCTATAGTCTAGTCTATAGTCTAGTCTATAGTCTAGTCTATAGTCTAGTCTATAGTCTAGTCTATAGTCTAGTCTATAGGTTAGTCTATTGGCTAGTCTATAGTCTAGTCTATAGTCTAGTCTATAGTCTATAGTCTAGTCTATAGTCTAGTCTATAGTCTAGTCTATAGTCTAGTCTATAGTCCAGTCTATAGTCTAGTCTATAGTCTAGTCTATAGTCTAGTCTATAGTCTAGTCTATAGTCTAGTCTATAGTCTAGTCTATAGTCTAGTCTATAGTCTAGTCTATAGTCTAGTCTATAGTCTAGTCTATAGTCTAGTCTATAGTCTAGTCTATAGTCTAGTCTATAGTCTAGTCTATAGTCTAGTCTATAGTATAGTCTAAAGTCTAGTCTATTGTCTAGTCTATAGTCTAGTCAATAGTCTAGTCTATAGTCAAGTCTATAGTCGAATCTATAGTCTAATCTATAGTCTAGTCTATAGTCAAGTCTATAGTCTAATCTATAGTCTAGTCTATAGTCTAGTCTATAGTCTAATCTATAGTCTAGTCTATAGTCTAGTCTATAGTCTATAATCTAGTCTATAGTCTAGTATTTAGTTAGTCTATAGTCTAGCGAAAAATTAGTTTAGTACTTTAATGTCTAAAAAGTACTATTTTGTTAAAAGTTGCCTGACTGATATGTCATCTTCTGAAGGTGACCTTATAAGGCAACTAGAGTCGAATATGGCCCGATAATTTATGCAATATAATGAATTGTCTCATCAGTAAATTCCCTAAAAAGAATTTGGTTTACGTGGTAGTTCACTACACGCGAACTGTCAAGTAGAATCAAAGAGACTCCGTTTTGACCAAAAAGAATTTACAAGTCGTCGTTATTTTGTTTCTACACTAATTATATGAAATATTTCTAATCAGAGATCTCTAATTTTTCTTCAGATATATGAAAACTATATTCCCCAAAGCCGATGAAACTTTATTACTGGATGTTTTAGCAAATGCCGATAATAATGTACAAAAGGCTTCGGAAAAATTGATTTCATTAGGTTATATAAAAAAGATTTTGCTCCTCCACCAAAACTTACCAATCGACCACATAATGAAATGAACGGTGGTGTTAAACCAACAATTGAAGATGAAATTAAAATTATACCATTACGTCCGAAAGAGTATACTGAGGAAGAAAAAGAGGCCAGTAAGTAAAAATTTAATAATAAATTTTTAAAAATAGTTAAAATTTGTTTAATAAATTTACAGTCAAACTTCATCTTAAGGAAAAATATCCACAAATAGTTGATCATATATTGGTAATGGCTTTGGAATCGGTTAACTATGCTGAAGATCGGGCTATGCAAATATTACAAATAGTTAAGGAGGAGGAAGAACAGCAAAAACTCCAAAAGACCCCAAAGCTAGCACACACAACAACTTTGGAATATAAACAAGAGGAACTTGACGGCTTAGGCAATATATCGGGTCGTGTTAGTAGGTAAGATGTGATAATTATTAACAAAAATTACACTTATAGCTAACTATATATGTAACTGATCATCATACATAACATTTTTCCATAAAGCTTTCCATTTTTTGTTTATTTTTGGAAAACTTATTTATTTTGCTTTAACCTTTAATTCATTATACTCGTATTGCTTTATTTTTACAATAAAAATGTTATTAACAAAACAAAAATAGCAAACCCTTAACCTCAATCTTAAAATCAAGCGAAGCCAATTTACGCAAAGAAATTGTAATCAACGTAAACCCGGCACTTAAAGACGATAAAACGGATACAACGAATATTGATAATATTAACGATAACGAATACATAATACCATCTGTAAGCTCAACTTTGAAACTCTCATCGGTTACCATGTCCACAAAAAGTATTTTAGATCGTTATCGTACAAATAATAAAATAAGCGCTAATGATTTTATACGTGGAACTTATCCAGTAACAGCTATACTTTGGGATAAATTATCCCTACATTCTCGAGATAAATCCGATACGTTAAAGTATGACATTTGAATTTCTTTCAGTAACTTTTATTTAAATTTTTTTGTTTTAAATGTATGTATTTTATTAAATGTATTTTAAATGCACCTTATTTTTTAAATTTTAAAATTATATCTTTATAAAAACGTAGAAGTTTTTAAAATTTAAAATATTAAGGTCCTAAGTTTTAAAATTTTTAATCGGTTTATTGTAAATTTATTAAAATATCAGGTTTAAAAGTTTATATACACATTAGTAGCCATTTAAATTATAATAAATATATAGAAAATTATATATATTTTTTATTATAAAAGATTTATAGTTGCCCTAAGAGTTTACAAAATTATACTAATCAGGAATATATAGTAGAAAAAATTTAACTTAATTTAATTACATATTTTAAAAGTTATATTAAAAGTTCACAGTTAAAAAATAGTTAATATTATATGTATATCATTAAAAATCTTAAACTTAATATTGTATTTTTTCGTATATTTTATGATTTATAAATATCAACATATTTGCATGCTTTTTTCACTTCATTGACTCATTAGATCATTTTAAATAATATATATGGATCGTAATATTTTATAATTATGTCGTATACATATCGTAATCATTGGATCCAATATTAAATTTAGTTAAGTCAGACTATTTGCAAAACCAAATTTTAAAAATATGATCTTTGAGATTTTTTATTACATTGATCATATTTAACGGATAAGACAACGTTTGAAAGGACTGTGCTCCTCCTCTTTGAATGTAATAATGAGATGTATTAGTAATAGATAGATAGATAGATAGATAGATAGATAGATAGATAGATAGATAGATAGATAGATAGATAGATAGATAGATAGATAGATAGATAGATAGATAGATAGATAGATAGATAGATAGATAGATAGATAGATAGATAGAATAGATAGATAGATAGATAGATAGATAGATAGATAGATAGATAGATAGATAGATAGATAGATAGATAGATAGATAGATAGATAGATAGATAGATAGATAGATAGATAGATAGATAGATAGATAGATAGATAGATAGATAGATAGATAGATAGATAGATAGATAGATAGATAGATAGATAGATAGATAGATAGATAGATAGATAGATAGATAGATAGATAGATAGATAGATAGATAGATAGATAGATAGATAGATAGATTAGATAGATAGATAGATAGATAGATAGATAGATAGATAGATAGATAGATAGATAGATAGATAGATAGATAGATAGATAGATAGATAGATAGATAGATAGATAGATAGATAGATAGATAGATAGATAGATAGATAGATAGATAGATAGATAGATAGATAGATAGATAGATAGATAGATAGATAGATAGATAGATAGATAGATAGATAGATAGATAGATAGATAGATAGATAGATAGATAGATAGATAGATAGATAGATAGATAGATAGATAGATAGATAGATAGATAGATTGACGACTACTTTGTAATCAACAATATTGCCCTTCTTCTTATTAAAAATGGGAAGAGGCTGATGATAACAGTAAATTTCTGTTCAAAAATAAAAAATTGTTTTCCACATTACATATGGAGCTTTCAGCAAAACCTCCAATTCTAAAAATCGAAAACCTCCTCTGAAAATCGTTAACATTTATTAAAATATCTCGTGGTAAATGAGGTCACAGTGGGTACATGTTGGTAAGCGAGAGTATCATAAGAAATTACTACGAAAGGGGAATAACTTTTAGTTAATTGATGTAAAATGTTTACGATTTGTATACGAACGACATTTACAAAATAAAATTATACAGTAAATTATGTATAAAATGTATAAAAAATATTTCTATGAACTAATTCTACTAAATATGCCTTTTAAACTAAAAAATCACCAAACACAGGCACTCACATCGAGATCAAACAGATGCCGCCACAGACAAACTATGTAAGGATTTCAAATCTTTAATGGGTCGTATACAGACAAATGGTCCCAATGCCAGTTTAGCAAAAGGAGCAAATGAAGGTTTATTGTTGTAAGTGTATTGCATATAAATTTATATTTGATGAACAATATAATATTGGTTTGTTTATAATTCTTTTTCAGAGCCGATTATGTCACCTGGAATGGTGCAAATCCTGACTTTTGTCAAGGTCAAAGAAATCTTGCCAATGGCGCCGATTCTACCATGCGCACGGAACGTGCTTATAAAGCCTATGGTCATAATGCAGATTTATGTAAAGGACCTCAATCAAGTTTGGCCAAGGGTAGTATTTATACGCAACAAAATCCTGCTAACGCCAATAAATCAATCGATATTATATGCAATTAGTTTTTTAATTGTAACATAAACGAATTTATGTATAATTTTTTCTTTCCAAAAAAATAATAATGAGAAAAACTTTTAAGAATTTGTGCCAAAAATATCAATACTTTATGCTTCTTACTTATAAATTCCGTCTTATTATTAAATAAAATTAAACGAAAATACATACATAATAATTATGTACAGAAATTTGTTTAAAATGTTTTCTTACTTTTTTATTTGTTTTGCGTTTTTGTCGGTAAATACTATCTTAACAATTTATTCCTACCATACCTACATTTAGTCATTTTTGTTTAACAATATATACAGTCCTTTTGATATATGTACGTCCATACAGCCACGCAAGTATTACAGAGAAGATATTGACTACTGCACTCCACAGAAATTTCGGTTATACAACCTTCGAAAACTGTGCAGCGAAGGAATACTACTCCCGGAGAACTCTTTCTGTTTACACTGACCTTTTCCAAAAAAAGGGGAAAGAGTGGGAAACGGCATTTTCATCCTTGAATTTGGGATCAGGATAAGTTTTAGAATACAGAATGAATGTAGTCCTATGCAGGCTAAAATATCAGCCATAATAAGAGCAAATTATACCGATGGCCAAACTGCTATCAAATCTCTGATTGGTGTATAAATTACATCCATGCTAGTCCAGGAATACTGGGCTTCCTTAAATAGAATAGCGAGACATTCAATAGACGTGATCAAATGGGTACGTACGGTAATTTGATTGGTAACTGTGTGGCTGATGAATTAGCGCAAATAGACGCCTCAATGTCCGTTAGGAACATAGATATCTTTTGTAACATTCCGTTAAAAACATGCAAACAACAACTGGATAAAAAAAATTTATGAAGACAATATGGCACAACGAGCCAACTTGCACTATTGCCAGAATGATATGACCAAATTTAGATAGTAAATGCACGCCATATCTCCTTCAATTTTGTCGTCTTAATCTCAGCAATCTAGCTGCTGTCATCGCAGGACACTGTTTATTTGGGAACCATGTAAGAAAACTTGGCCTACCCTACGACTTCTGCAGGTGCCAGGACGACGAAGAATCCGTAGAACATCATCTCTCCCATTGCCTGCTTTAGCAGACATTTGCTTCGATATTCGAATTTTCGACGACCAGTCAGAAATCTCCAGTAACAATTAATTCTTAACTCACACAGCACTAACCAATGGTACTTATATTATGTTAAATTAACTGATGCACCAAAGGCAATTTAAAAAAGGAATACGTAAAACATCGAAGAAAATTTTTAAGTGATTAATTTTTACAAAAAATTTACAAATAAAAAATCGAAAAATATCCAAAATTCTGCATAAAATTATCTTCTTTAACGGTGGTAGTTACAATTATAAACAATTCTCAATTTCACTTTAGAACCGGAAGTAATTTTGAATATAGCCCCTTGATAATCGTTTTATCAACAAAATATTTACATGATCTATATCACGGTAAACATACAGCATAGAAATATCTCGATTATAACCAAATCCAATTAGAATCTTGTGTACGCTTATGAAAATACCGAAATTTTTTCTATTACATGCCAGAAACTGTCTTATTTAACCCTAATACCTTCTTATAACATCATTAGACATGGTGGTCAAAATCTTTCTATATTTACAAAAACAACACACAATTTAAATGTAAAAAAATTTACACATATACTATTTTTTTATTATAAAACTATAGTTTTATTAAACACCATTACTAATTTACTTCTTCTTGGCATTTTCTTCATTTTCAGCGTTTTCACGGGCTTGCTTGGCACGGATGCCAACAAGACGAGCATCAGAACGAGCCTAAAATAGAAAAAAGTAAACAAAATTAATGAAATTGTCCCAACATTTAGTTTAAAGAAAAATAGTAATATGTTAAAAAAAAAGCAGGGCCATCCATACCTTGCGCAAAGTAGCGAAAGCCTTGAATTTCTTCTCGTCCTTGGTAACTTCACGGAATTCAATGGTGGGTTCTTCCTTCTTAATAGGCATAACCTTGCCCTTAAGTTGGGTAGCCAACTTGCATTCTTCAAGAGAAGATTCACCCTTGCGGATCTTCTTCTCGTTGATGGGGAAGAGAATCAATTTGCTCTTGTATTCCTTCAAGCGTTGGATGTTGCGTTGACGGGATTCGATGGATTTGTTCTTGCGTCTGCGATCAACAGCGATGCCAACAGTTTTGGCAAAACCAGCAGTAAGACCGGCACCCTAAAGAGACAAACAAAAATATTTAATGTTTACATCTTGCTGGTTGGGGGGAAAAGTGTGTCAATATTTAGACACCTACCTTCAATTCTTCCAAAGTGAAACCGCGACCAGCACGCAACTTGGTGTGATAACGGATGGTGGGGCATCTGACTACGGGACGGAGGGGACCAGCAGCGGGACGGGGGAAGACTTCCTTGGCTTTCTTAATGCGGTTATTGCGCCTGCGGATCTTGCGGGCGGGTTGGTTGAACCAGGTCTTAACATGACGTTGCCACCACTTGTGGAAGTGAGCATTTGGAATCATATTATTTCCCTTACCCATTTTGTTGTTTAGTCTGCAATAGTTATAAACAAAAATACGCACTGATTAATAACGTTACAATACAAATTCACTTAATAGGAACACATTTACGTTTATTCTCCATATAACCACAAAAAAACAAAATAATTTTCGTTCAAACACCACGTGGTTGTCTCATGAAATTTTAACACAAATTTTCATTTTTCTTTACTAAAATCCATTATGTTTTATGCTTAGTTTATTAGTAGGCACTTCTTTCATTTAATTTCATTGAAATTTCAACCAAAACTTTTTTAATTTTTACATATTTTTTAAAAAAATCACCAGCAGAAATTTTTTACAAACCTTTTCTTCCCAACAACGAATCAAAAAGGAAAAGTGCAGCCAACTTAGCAATGTCGAAAAAACATTTTTCGAATAACAGTCGATTATTTTCGAACTTAACATACAACCCTGTGTAGGTATAGGGTACGAAAAATGCAACTATGTAAGTAACCGATAACTAAAGTTTTTTGAAAAAAATAACTAGTAGATTCATGAATTTTTAACAAAAATGTATTTTAAAATAAAATTTACTGTTAGTCAGTGCCTGTGTTCTGTAACTTTCGAATCGACAAAAACATCGGGTGAACACACGTAATTCAAATATGTTTTGGTTCAATTTAAAAATTATCTGAATCATAGAACTAACAAGGGAGAGACTCTTTCAATGTTTTTTCTCGACTCGAAAACTACAGAGCACAGGCACAGAATAAATCGAATTTAGTCGAAAAATCATAATTTTTCAGAATACGAAGATTTTCGGCTATTTACATGTACACAACACGATCATAGACGAATTTGCCAACAAGAGCATAAAAATACAAACATTCATTTCTGGGGGACTATGTTCTAAAATATGTATATATAAATTGACTGTCGAACTAGTTAGAGTACAATATTCGGAATCTGAATCTGTGAGAAACTATAATTGTGTATCCGAAGTCGTTAGTTACAAAGCGCCACTTTAATTATATATAAAGTAAAAACCTGAATCTATGTGATAAAAGTTAATGAAAATTCTTGCAGAAACCCTGAATTGTTACAAATTAATATATATAACGATATTTCAATCTAGCACAATTATACCAGAGTGATAAAGGCATTTATTTAGAGAATAAATTCCTATACAAACAATTTTTGGATTTAACGAAAGGGCCTGAAAATATATCTGTCGTTATACTGGGCTTTTCCTGTATTGTTAAAAGTCGAATGATCCGTTTGGATTATTGCATTGGCAATATCAACATTATTTATAATTTTGTTTACATTTTTATTACTTATTGCTATTTTGTATTTATAAAGAAAGATTTATTATTAAAAATTGCAAAAGTAAATACAATTCTCATACATAAGTAGGGTTCTATAGTTGAAACGAAAAGTCGACTTTTCGACTTTTTGCATTTAGTTAAAAGTCGACTTTTCGACCTTTCGACTTTTTCCATTTTATGAAAAGTCGATTTTTCGACTTTTCGACCTTTTTCATTTATTTAAAAGTCGACTTTTAGACTTTTCGACTTTTAGTATTTTATAAATGGTCGACTTTTCGACCTTTCGACTTTTTCCGACTTTTCGACTTTTTCCGACTTTTCGACTTTTTCCGACTTTTTTCGACTTTTCGACTTTTTTTCGACTTTTTCCGACTTTTTTCGACTTTCCGACTTTTCGACTTTTATTTACAAAGTCGACTTTTCGACTTTTTTCATAGACGATAGTCGAGTTATCGACTTTTTTGGAACAAAATAGTCGACTTCGACTTTTCGACTTTTTTCGACAAAAGTCGATTGTTCGATTATTCGAAAGTCGATTTATAGAACCCTATACATAAGTACATTAATTCAGGACTTTTCGAATTATTACAAAAGTGTTTCTAAACCACAGTACTAAAATCTATGTTATGAAAATATGAGCCTTTTTCATTTTAGTGCTTTTCAACCCTGAACAAGTTGACAGCCCTGTCGATATTGATAAAATTCGATGACGCGATTGCAGACGAAAAGAAAATTATCTATTTTTTATAAAAAAAATTTGTGTTGACAGTTTTAAAAACAGTAAAACGAAAACATAAATATTGTGGAAAAAATGTCGGATCCTTTGCAAGATCCTCCGGTGACCCCACATATAGCACAGCTAAAATTTGCTAAATTACACAGTCCCAAAATGAAAAGTGTGTACTGGCGTCATTTTGGATTTCCGACAAATGAAGACAACTGCATAATAACAAAACAAAATGTAGTTTGCCTTATTTGTCATAAGGTTTTAACTAATCACGGCAATACCACCAATCTACGTGCTCATCTGCAATATCGTCACAAGGAGGTTTTCAATCAAATCATACAAGACAACGGAATACAGGTGCCACCGCGTAAGCCACAAACAAAAATGTCACTTAATGGCAGTGGGGCGGGCGGCATGAAAATCAAACGTGAACCGGTCGATAAGAAACGAAAATTAAAGTTGAATATCATAACTCGATGATGCAGCAGCATGACACCTATTCGAATGATGCCTCTGTAAGCGGCAACGATGACCATTCGATATTGTATGAAACCGTGGTGCCGATGACTTATGAAGACGATGACATAGTGGACAGTAATCATTTTACAAAAATCGAAGTTAGCAGTGCCAACGATGTCAAACCAACTTGTAGTGATTTGCTACAGGTGGGTGGCAGTAGTAGTAATCGTAATGTGGAACGGAAATATCGCATTAGTACTGTCAATAATATGTCCACAGATTTGGCAACAATAGATAATTATCAATTGCAAGAGGCGCTAACAAATCTGGTGGTCGATGACTTACGAAATGTGGAGAGTTTATTTGATGCCAGCATGTCGAAATTTATTCGAACTATATGTGGTAATGTGTCCATACCTTCAGCGAAAAAGGTAAGTAAAGACGGTTTGCAAATGTTTAAAAAAATTGTCAAATTTTATGAAATCCTATTCCAGATAGAATTGTATATAAAAGAATTGCACAGTGATAAATATACCACTCTAACGGATCAAATAAAGTTCATTCACAAATTAAACCCTATTCATTGGGTTTCGAACTTTGGTCTAATGTGGAACAGAAAAACTTTCTATCAATATTTTTTAACTATACCACAGATGCACCCGCTTATAATTTGGTAAATCAGATCTATTGTACCATAGAATATACTAAATTTACCGCAATTGATACAATATTTGAAGAGTTTAATTTACAAAATTGTACAGCGGCCATAATAAATTGTGATGATGATTATTTAAAGCATTTTCTGGACGGAAAAGGTAAGATTGAGTTTAGTTGTAATATTCGAAAAGTTAAAAAACCAATTTTTTTGCAGATATACCCATTATCTACTCGTATGATACAATTGTTAATCATTGTATTAAAAATGTTATAGCATTACCAGCTGTAAGCCTCTATTATTGAGGAAATCAAAGATACTATAATGCGTTATAATGTGGAAATTAACTCCAAGGTAGTATTAATCTTCTTTTTTGATTGTTTTGTTGTTATTTTTGTCAATTTTAGGAAGTTGAAATTCCCCCCCTAAATGATGACTTCCCATGGACTTATTATGAGTTACTAAAGTTTTTTGCGGAAACTTTATTTTGGCCTGAGGAATTAGAAGTTTTAGTAGCCTCGGCTAAAGGTCTTTATGATATACTAAGTACACTTTCTGTAAGTGGATTAAAACGAAAACTATTTTTTTATTTATTGCTTATTATTAATATAAATTGGTTTGATTTTAGGTGACTTTGGATACATTAAAGGGTGAAGATATACCACTGAGTAGTATGTTGTCACCGATTACATCTAAGGTTTTAACGAAAAAGCTGGCCATACATGAAAGTGATGACAATTTTGTGGAAATTATTAAAAACACCATCAGTAATACACTTCATAAATTGTGAGTATTTAAGTATTAAAGCTAAATGTTAAACACAGGCCAACAAATGTTTAAGCCAAAGACTACAACTGACATCAGAATTTACTCATTACATTAGGTATTCGAGATGTTGTTTCATAAGCATTCAAAAACCCCCCTTTGTGGTAATATTTTAGATGTTATAACAGACCAAAGGCAACATCGTTTATAAATGGCATCTGAAAGTCTAATCTGCCGACATTAAAATAAAGCTCTCATCTCTATTATATCTGCTTCCTTCTTCGAGATATCTTAACTTAAAGTTTCAGATAGCATAAAATAATTTTATAAACAAGGGTATCACTGTCATATAACGTCTCAACTAATGCCAAAAATGGGGTTTTTTCAATCTTTATGACACGATATCTCGAAAACTCGGATTCAGATCAATCTTGTAGTAAGGACTACACACTTTGGTCTCTGGGTTAACAATTGGCAAACATTTTAAGCACGTTTTTTTAATCATCATAACCAACTACTGGCCATCTTCTTTATTTTCAGGGTCTTATCGGATAATCACTTAACCATTTCAGCATATTAGATCCTAGATTTCATCGTTTAATAAACATCAACAATTTAAATAATTGCATTAAAATTTTAACCAGCAAATACGATAAGATTACAGAATCACAAGGTATATCGCCAAGTATTTCTTCACCCAGATCCACACAAATCGAGTAAAATCTACAAATACCAATAATGCAGTAAAAAAATCTAGTATGTTTACTTACTTCACAATCGTTAAAAGCAAACACTTATAAAATTTCTACTTTTCCTACAGATTTAGAATTATTTTTCGATTTAACTGAAACTCCAGTGGAACAGCCAGTCACGACCTTGCCCAATAGTGTAGAAAACGACTTGAAACGTTATCGCACCGATGTCTACTGCAGCCTCGATGAATCGCCCTTTTTGTGGTGGAATCGTATGGGTCATATGTATGGCTCTTTAAAAACATTTAGCCCATCAGTATCAATGTGTGCCATGTGTGGTTAATATGAACTATAGGAAAAATATAAAAGAACAAATTTTTAGACAGTCAAAACGTTACATGTTAACTGGCAATCTTATAGATGCCATATTATTTTTGCATTATAATTGAGTAGTAAACATTTAATATATTATTAGATATTTTTCTTATGTTAAGAATTTTTAGTTTTAAGTTTGTTTTTGACCATTTGAATGAGGAATACATGCTAACAAATACATATGATTAGTTTATGTACGGCTGCTTATTAGTATGTATGATGGTTTCTTAGTTTTAATACAGATATTGTCCATATTTTTAAATAAAAATTCTAATTAAATTTGAAGAAAAATATATCATTTCTTAATAAAATAAATTTCTTAGTTTATTATTTACAGGATCAAAATATTAATTAACAACATTCTTATAACTACTTTAACTTAGTCTATTATTCTTCTTTTAAAGGTTGTTGTGGCACAGTCTCAGGATTTGTATTAGTTACAGTTTTAGCTTTTGTCTTAGTCATGGTTTCGAAAGGTTCACCAATAGTTATAGGCAAACGATCACCCCAACGACCAGCTTTGGCACATCTATAGGCGGGTCTGTAATATTAAAAATATTATTAATGAACATGATTTCCTAGAATAATTCCACTAACCTGCCATGTTTAGATTCGGTAAATATAATTTCTTGTAATTTGCCCTCTGACGTGCACATTCTGCAAATGGCATGTTTCGAACGTAATAGTGTAGGACGTACTATTCTCGGCCATGCTCTTGTACTATCTTCTGGTAGTCCTTTTTTAAGTATCACATAACTAAATCTGGCTGTTGCTGTACGTTTGCTATTTTTGTTTAAATTTGTTGGCACAAAATTAATTTCGAAATTACAGGGAGTACGATCTTCCGGATTCGAAAGGCGCGGACAAATGTTGTCGTGTGGACACTAGAAGTTAAAACAGTAACATTTACATATTTGTTTCACTATTAGGAATTTTCTACTTACCGGTGCAAAAACATGACCCACTAAACTATGCTCTTCAAAGGATAAAACCAAATCTCTGGCCTCATTTACCAATTGGGAACCACGTCTTGTGCCCTCTTCTACTATAATCATATAACCATCACATTTCTTCCACAAATTTAATATCACACTTAAACGGTTTTCTGAGCTGGCTAATTCGAACAAGGAATGGGAGCATATAACTAAATCATACTTGGTCTGCAAAAGAATAAAATAAAAACATTAAATTCTTTATTAAAAAGCCTACAAACTTTACTTACTTCTAATCCGGGCAAAAACTGACGATAGAAAACATTTTTCAAAGTCATTTGTTGATTTTCATTGCCATCCCTTAAAATTAATTCGGATAATTCATTCATATGCCTGGAACTGTCAACATTGAAATATTCGAATATGGATCTTTCCATAGGCTACTACTGGCCCACATACCGGTGCCCACACCCGAACCAAAATCAAAATAACTTTGTGGCTTAAATTCCGAATCACGTGTCTTGATTTCCTGTAATATGCGCATTAAGACACCATACTCATGTGCCCCTCTGGCCACTGCATACACCAGTGCTTCATATTCTCCATACTGTACCGGTTTCCAGGCAAATGTTCGTTCCCTTAAACGTCTTTGCAATAATTGTTCTCTTCGCTGTTCCCATTGTTTACGTTCCTGTTCGCTGAGATTTCCCATTTGTTCTAGCGGCATTATAGTTTCTATCTCCTCCATAATCTTTTTCACTTTTACATTAATTTCCTCTGCTTCTGCTGGTGGATGACGGGATGCTATGAATTG